GCTCGCGGATGGTCCTTGGACAGAGAGGCATAAAAAGCACTTCAAATGTTGTTCAATAGCAATAGAAAGACAGTAGTGAAAAAGAAGATTGGAGATAAAATGGTGGTTTTGTCAAAAAGAGAATGAAAAGAACGTGCCGATAAAATGTTACGTCAGTGGGATTTTGAGATTGACAGTTACGTCGACATTTTAAAGACTATATTTATTGTGTTTTATGCAAGAAATGTGTTCTTCTTTAGATATGCAGTCGCTTGCATAGTCACTAATATCTTTTGCACATGTTGTCATGGTTACGACCACAAACAACAACAGACAACCATGAAGTTGATAATTATAATAAATTATTGTGTTATTTGTGAAACTGAAAACAGGACAAGACAGAGTAACATTGTTTTTTTTAGAAAACTGCACTTCTTTTTAACATAGCTTTTATCTCTGGAAATTGTTATGTTTTATGTGTGCGTGTGTAGTTTATGTACAGTAATATTTTATGAATGGGTTTGTTCTGTGTGTTCTCGGGCTAGTTTGTTCTCAATTGACCCATCTGGTTAGAAAATTAAATACAGCTTTTTTGGGGTATGACTCTATAAGCTTTGCACATCTAGAGACTGACAGTTTTGGACATTTTATACACAGCAAGCTTTGTCAGATTGGAGAGCAACTTGCAAATTGATATTTTCACAGATTTTCAATTGGATGTAGGTCTGGACTTTGACTGAGCCTTTCAAACACTTTGTTGTGGTCTTTAGGAGAAAAATGCAAATCCTATAATTATAATCTCTATGTTTGTGGTCTACACTGTAAACATGACAAAATGTGCAAAAGCTGTTCAAGTTCATTTTTGGAAAGTCAAAGTCATCAGACTGCTGGATTTGTGCATCTGGAGTTCAGAATAATGAAATATTAAAGGTACAGACTAGAAAAAAGTGAGAAAGAGTTGAATAAAAATACGTTTTGTCCAAACCTTTAGAGCCTCCTGTGCAACAAAAATACCCAAACAGAAAACACAAAAATAATGTGTTTGTTTAAAAGTGGCACTGATCATATTCACGATTACACAATGATGTAAAAACACAATATTTGTCAGTATTAAACATTTTAGACCTATCAAACTGACCTCCTCGTCCTCAAACCCAGTTAAATCCCATTCATAATTCAGCCTCATCTGCCGCCTCTTCCAGTGCTCCATGAACATAGCGGCTGATGAGTAGAGAGAAAACAAAACAGAAGCATTCACACCATATGTATAGTTTTTACAATTTAAAGAACCACACGTGTTACTGTCACCACAATCACTTTGTCCATACCCTCATGCTGCTAACATGTACAGATACACACAACTATATATATATATATATTTTTATACTTGGTTCTGTATTATGATAAAGATAAAGACTTCACACTTACTTCTTATTATGTTAAGTCAGAGATGTTATACTTAATTCTTGCTTCTTTATTATGCTAAAGTGGGAGATTTTAGAATTGCTTCTTTATTATGCTAAATTTGGAGATTATATACTTAATTCTTGCTGCTTCATCATGCTAAAGTTGGAGATTTTGGATTTGCGTCTTTAATATGTTAGCATTAGAGATTCTATCCTATTTAATCTTAGTAAAGAGTTATTGCTCATTTATCTTGTGCTGTGTGCTCCTCATTCCTGCTGTTCTGTAACAGGTGATGCAACACTGAAATTTCCCCACTGTTGGACGTATCAAGGATCTCGTAAGGTTACCGCACACTCACCCCACAGAGCCATAAAAACAGAGAAAAACACGGTGGCCGGGTTGTCGAATAAGTGACTGGCTCGGGCCGTCCCACAGGCTGAGCTCAGCTTCCAGTAGCTGCACACTTGGTCACACAGAGGACACATGGTGATGTTGTTTTTGGGATGGCATATCTCCATACTGCAGAGAACAGATATATTCAATTCAATTCAATTTATTTGTGTATAGCCCTAAATCACAACAGTAGTTACCTCGGAGGATTTAAAAAACACAGATAAGAGAATCAAGAAAAGCATTGATAAAAACACAGAGAGCCATTGGTACATAAGGGGCAGATGACCAATGCTTCATAAATGTTGATAAATGTCCATATTCAGGACCGGTTCTACTTTCCAGGGGCCCCTCAATCTAGACTTCTTTGTATATTATCAAAGTATACGTTGAAACTTTGTGTTGTATTGTGAATGATTTGGAACACGGTGGGGAGAAGTTCGATCCTGATTTAGCAGGAGATAAAAATCTAGGCTTTTTGACTGGATTACTATTAGGAGCTGTCTCGGGGGGCCCTCTGAACGCCTCATTGTTTCCACAGATGCGATGCAAAAGTTCGCAGATGGACGTGGTTTAGTGACCATGTCGAATCTAAACGGCTTCAAATCAAAAATGTTGTTTTTCATGCACTGATTCTCAAAACTGGAGCCGAGACACAGCGGCACATTCTGATTAGTTCATTTCCTCAAGGGCCCACTTCACTGCAACTGACTCAGGCCCATGGGTGGGGGCAGGGTGAGTTTTCCTAACATTTCTGTCAGAGTGGAACACTGTTTGCAAATTATTGGATCTTTGACGGTGTAAAGGTGTAACAACTATACAGTATTTGATGTTCAAAAGATGTTTTTTCCCCTTTAAATTACAAGATTAGGACTGAAGTTAGAATCCCTGGTTTGATTTGATAATTTCAATAATAGTAGACAATTGTGGTGAGTGAGAAATGTGTATACATGTATGTATATAGAAAGAGAGACACACAGGCAGACAGAGAGAGTGTGAGAGAGAGAGATGGAAGGACAGAGACAGAGAGACACAGAGAGACAGTGAGAGACAGAGAGAGAGAGATGGAAGGACAGAGACAGAGAGACACAGAGAGACAGTGAGAGACAGAGTGAGAGAGAGACAGAGAGAGAGAGAGACAGAGAGAGAGAGAGGGTGTGAGAGAGAGACAGACAGAGACACTGAGAGACAGAGAGAGAGAGACAGAGACATTGAGTAACAGAGACAGAGACAAAGAGAGAGAGAGAGAGACACTAAGGGAGACAGTGAGAGACAGAGAAACGGAGAGAGACAAAGACAGCAAGAGACAGAGAGAGAAAAATGAAGTTTTGTATCCATTTTGCAATTGGACATTCTTGGGGGGCCCACTTGTGACTTTGGGGCCCCCTGGAGCTGCTTATTGGGTAAGGCCAGCCCTGCATATAATAATACATGAAGTACTAGTAAACCAAATGAAGACATGAACCTTGGTATGTTGTCATTGACTGTGGCGCAGCCGTAGAGGAACACGATGACTCCCACGATAGACGCAGGAATCAGCATCTGGGTGTAAAGACCTAACCAGGCAAAGTACAGGCCGATCTTCTCTCCAAAATATTTCCTGATGAAAGAAAATGAATAAGAAAAGTGGAATCGAATTTGTATTTTCCATGTGAATTGTCAGTGCTTACCTGACCAGTCCAATCGGCTGGTACTTGTAGAACACGCTGTAGTTTGCCCACTCCTCATACAACAGCTTGCGAATATACGGGAAAATGTAAGTACAATTTCTTATCATCTTCGGATACGTTTTATTAGCAAGTATCGGATATTTGTGACGAATGTGCGTGTATCTTTTTAAAATACATATTTGTATGAGTTTTGCCTTTAGAGTTCAATTGGTCAAAATGCCATAATTCAAAAACATAACAAGGCAGAAATTATAATGCAAAGGGAAAGATTACATACAAAATAATAATAATAATAATAATAATAATAATAGTAATAATAAATAAATACATTTAAAAATGAATTAAAAAAATAAAAGAAAATGAGTGTGTGCACATGGAACTTGTGTTTTATGCCGACATAGATCATTATTCTGGTATAACCGGAATCACTGTGACAACCTGACACAGAACATCAACTATTTAACCCTTTGACTCAAAAAGATAAACCTGGTCTAAACAAAAGCGCCCTAAATGTCACATCAACAATTAACAATCTCACATGGTATTTTCTACAAAGTTAGTCCCATTTAGTATACTGTATAGTGTGTTTGAAAAGACAACTTCATACTTTTCTGTCATTCGGTTCTACGTGCTCCTCTGTGTCACCCTGTAAACGGGATTACACAAATAGAAAGCTTTAGAATTCCTGCAAATGACATTTTAGATATAATTGACGACATGTATACTCACATCGTGCAGAGGGTAAGCTGCAGTATACACACCTCGACCCAACAGACTGGTTATACCTGGAATATTTACGTTAAAAACAAAGACATCACTGACATTCATTGAACTATACAATAAAACATGAAGCTTGTTTCACCGACCGATACTGTACTTTGCCTTGCATTTAGTTCTCTTTAGAATTTCATAAACCTGAAAGAGAATGATAGTGAGTTCAAATCTGTATTTATGAGCCACCAGTGTCATAATCTGTCAAATGTCAAAAAAGTGATGAAAAATAAGTTAATTAGTAAAAGTTAACAAAAGTTAGCAAAGGTTTCGTCCCTTCAGCCATATTCTTGTCCTTGTCCCTGTGTTGTATGTGTTTCTTTCTGTGTTTTTTGTGTATCTTATGTGTAGTGTAACTTCCTTCCTCCTATTCTATGTGTCTGTGGAAATGAATTACCCTCAGGGGACAATAAAGGTCTATCTATCTATCTTAATTTGAGCACATCTTGTCTGCCTTAAAACAAGAATTGCCAAAGAGACGGGCAAAATGTGTTAAAAAGATACAAGAACTGTCTCCCTTGGAATGAGAAAATAAATGGGTTTGTCTATTTGGCTAATCTTGTTTTATGAAAGTCAAAATGCACTCAAATTAAGATAAAAAAAACACTTGATTAAGGCAATTATTTCTTCATTATTCATCACTTTTTGCAGTGTATAATATAAACGTATGTGACAAAACTTACAATTGAACTCCTGGTTTTGCTGTCAAAGAGGCAGTCTTTATCCGATAAATCAAACCTGCAGACGACAGTAGGTTTACAAGATTAGCAGTGGATCAGAAGTTTATTTTTGCGTGCGCAGAGACCGGACGTACAGATGCTGTTTCTCTCTGGAGAACGTGTGCGACAGGTACTTGATGTGTTTGGGATGATGCTCCTCCACGTGGGGGTAGAGTGGCTCCACCGCTTTACTCGCCAAAGACATGAGTTTCTCCACGAACCCGCTGGACTGCTTCACTTCATAGCACTGACAGAGAGCATACATCACATTTTCTTTCACTCTGTTTCTCTAAATGTACAATCTTTTGGCTTTGTACTGTAACTCCTGACCTTTTTGGTGGGCATCTTCAGCTTCATGAACTCGGCCTCTCGGCACAGGACGTTCCAGGGAGCGTGGATCTTTACGAAACCCACTCCTGGGACATTGCCCTAAATGTTTTCGACAAAGCAAGAGGGTCAAGAAAGTTTAAGAGAAAAAAATATGCAAAATCAATGTAATTCTAATCTAATTTTTATTGTCTAATTTCATTGTGACCAAGACAAAACTGTATTGAAACTTAAAACAGTTAGCTTGTGACTTTATTTTATTTTTCTTTGTTTCATTTTACTTTTTTGGCACAAGGGGGGCATAGTAAAAAAAAAGGTTAAATGTCTCTCTTCTGCTGTATATATGGGAAAAGATTTCAACTAATGAAAAAGCTTCTAAAAGATATCTGTTTTTCTTATTATTACGGTAGTATTTGTGAAACGGTGACCATTTGTTTAAGTTTAGCTATTTAGAATTGTGCACATTTTTTGTTCCATAAATTTTGCATTTTGTTTGTTCCAACAGAAGTACTATTGTAAAAGTAAAATGTATAAAACATCATGCTGTCTGTGTCTCATTTGAACACATTGTCTTTTGTTTACTTGTAAGAAAGATCCCTGTGAGTCACTATTGAACGCTTTGGGCTAGGAGCTGATTGGTTGAGTGAGGGTGGTCCTCTCTTTCCAATACTTACGGGACATGAATACTTGGGTGTAAAAACTGGTGATAGAACTCAACTATTTTGAGAGCGAGGAACTAGTTAGAAGGATTTTATTACACAGTTAATTTTTTTTTTCTTGAGGTGATTTGAAAGTTATACACCCCAGCTTTAACGACCAGAGGACTCACATTATCTTCCTTCTCCAGCTCCAGCCCCATATCTCTCAGTTTCGATTCAAAGTCTTCTCTCTGTAGGATCTTGTCTTCCTCTCCTGGTGACGAGATCTCCCCTCTGAACCCGTGTGCCGTGCTCCTCATCCCTGCTCTCTGAGGCGGTGCGACGCCTGTGTCTTTGTGGCAGACGGCGTTCTCGCTCTGCATGTGCGGCACATATCTGCTGATGCGACTGCCACAGGTCTTCTTCAAGTTGTAACTCAGGACATAATCTACTCGTCTCTGACCGTCCGTGAAGTACAGACCCTTCTGGAAACATGTGCTTTCCTCTGGGGTCGCTGATTTGAGGAGCTGCAGGTGAGATATAAAAACAGTTGGTGGAATTAGACAAATATTATATTGCGACATTTTTTGTGTTCATATTAAATCATATTTTAGAGCTTGTTTATCTCGATGGTAACGTTCTAGAAATAACTTGTGATAAGCAAAATCCATGATGTAGCAGCTATGAGTTAAAACAGTTTTACAACCCCTCACCACAAACCTGTTTGTTGTAGGTCTGAGCGCTGCTGCAGCTGTCAAAAGCTGTGCAAAGCAGGGGCAGGAGCATGTATCACCTACTGTATGGTAACACAGCATGCTTTTCCTTAGTTTTCCTGAATGCATTAACAATTCTCCTACAGCAAATCTCACAAGTGATGCTTATTCCAAGGGGAGGGACTGTTAATATATGAATTATTAAGTACACAATATACTACAGGGTCACAAACAAAATATGTACTCTTTTGAAGTTGCATGAATCACCTTTAATGAATGGTGGGTCGGACAGTTGGGTTAGAGTGACATATCTATAGTGGAAATAATATTCTACGTTAAAAAAAAAACATAGTCTCCCAATACCCATCTCCCAATAGAATGAGTCTCATGTCTCTTTTGAGTTGCCAGGTTCCATGATAAAATTGATGGTTTGAACCTAAATCCTCATTCCTTTATACCTGGCATCATTAAACACACTCAAGCAAGGTGTACAGACTGTTTACTTTACTGTGGGAAGATCCTACAGGTTGTTGCACTAGAACTTTAACAGAAGCTGCACTAAAAAGCTGCCCTCCATTTGTAAGCAATCCACAGCTCTACACTTCAGCAGTTAAGTTAAAGTACTTTGTTGTATTTAACTATGACCTGTTTGCCCCGAGTCTTTCACAGCAACAGACGCATGATCCAAGACTCTAATTCCATTTCAAACAGTCTCGGCCACAGACACGGTCGTAATAAAAATAACTAACATGAGTAAAAGTAGACAATGTTAAAAATAGTTTGTTGGTCACATCTTGTCACACTTATAATATTACATTGGATATTCCCATGGACACAGTGGGTGGTCTCTTGCATTGAAAATTAAGGGCAGAAAAAGGCCTTCCTCAAAACACAGGGAAATGAGATGCAGCTGTTGCCGTATCTAGTCTGTACACTTTAGTGCTACTCTGTCTATTGAAAACATTGCTTAATATTACGTGAAACATTTATAAATTAACATTGGGAGGTTGTTTCTGTAGTCCTGTTTTTATTCACTAAACTTAACATATTGAAGCTATATCAGTTTGAGCTTGGAGAGCAGCACTTTTTGTTGCTTCATGAATACAAAAAATTGTAGATCTCTATTCAAGCAAATTATTCAACCTTTTTTTTTGTGGCTATAGCACCTGGGTTGGGTTGGGCGTTGAAGAGAATATACCAAAAGTAGATTTCAATCATCAACAGTAAAATAGTGTACAAATGGTTTATATACATTTCGGGTATATATGTTTTGTTTTTTTTCATTTTTTAAAACAACATCACATTTCTTTGACATGATATGGTAAAAGTGGTCTAAAAAGTCTTAATGTAGCTTAAGCAGAAGTTCAAATTGGTAGACCACCTCCGTCACCTCACCAGGCTTGCCCACGCCATCCTCAGCCTATCACATCAGCTTCAACAACTCCCTGCCAGCTGCTAATCAAGCCAGCGCTGAAAAGCTGGACACCACACACCAAACAAGCCGCAACCCACCTCCTCCCCACCTCCAACCTCAAGATTCCTTCACACGCTCACATTCACATTGCCCTATTGCCACCACCAGTGTCTAGGCCCCGGGGGTTCATGATCTGCACTCCAGCACAGATCCTCACGGAGCAAGGCCACAGTCGTGCCTATGCGCCAAACTAATAAACTACAAACAAAGCTCGCAATCAATAAACATTTTAAATGCATTTTGACGTGTAGTCTCTCCTGATTGAAATGAATTTTGTTGGGTCAAACCAATATTGAAACAGCTTCACACAAAGACTTTACCATTTTAGTTCCATACAGCACTAACCAGGCTAGAAAATATAATTTGTAAACCAGGGCAAAAACAACCATGGGCCGGTTCAGACTTTTTAATGGGTTTGATTTGGCTTCCGGGCCACAAGTTGGATAGGCCAGACCTGGCTTACACGTGTTTTAGTAGTTTTTGAAGAGTAAATGTACAAATCCATCGTCTGGTATGTGTTCTAATGATCAGTAATGCCTCGGGGCAGTGTAACAGGATACATTCTAAATCCATTCACAAGCTGCGTCCAAACTGACCGCTGAAACTGTGAATGAAATGAGTTCTTGGCAGCCAGGGAGGACGCATCAACATTTTTGACATTTTATCTGTGATTTCACTTTTGAAAATGTTTGTATTTTACATGGGCTGTCGATTAACTATGCACAGTTGACAGTAAAGTATAATTTAACTGCAGAGTACGTTTCTCCATGTTGACATTAGAGCAGTGTTACCCAACCTTTTTGAGCCGTGGCACACCTTTTTCATTTAAAACTCATACAAACATGTAACTCTGCAACTTTTATTAACAAAACAAAGTCATCAAAGTGCATTTTATTGCAAATCAAAGAAGTGCAAAGAAGTATTTTGAATATTTTTTTGACCAAGCAGGTGATATTGGATAATTTCCCAAGGCACCTTAAATTTAGAATGAATAGCATGGAAGTGAAAAGTGAAAACTCAGTAAGACTTAAGCTCTAACTTTTCTTAATAACAAACTGAATTGGACTCTTACAATATCCACTCACCTCAAACTTGCCGTGAAAAACCACATCTCTCAGAAAATGCACTGAGGACTGTTTCGGTTCAGCCACTGGCGGAAACTTGTCCTCTTCTTCTCCTTGTTGTGTCATGCTGCCGGTCCTTCAGGTAGAACTCATTGAAAGACCATGTATCCCAGCTTGTTTGTCCTAGTTCCTCATCCGCTTCATCTGCTTCCCGGGTCTGACACACAAGAAAAACAACCTCTCCAGTGTGTCTTGAGCTTGACTTTTTGCGTGCCGTCAAGTCTGTCCTGCTAAAGCTCAGGGCAGAGACTTGCTGTTTGTCCCAGTCGCTGCTCTGAGGGGTCTGACACTTGAGACCGAGACTTTCGTGATCCAAGATCTAAACATAGGCGACGATAAAACTGATGAAGAAGAAATGCCCTCCCACACTTTCCCCTGGTCCCCCCCAAAGTCCTTCGAGAGGCTGTGAGATCAAAGCCCTCCGACCTGTCCCGGGACCCCTCTCTCAATCGTAACCGCTCATAAATTAGGGACATGATTGAGATTACCACTGCGCTAAGTGCTACTAAGTGAGAGTTGGAGATTGGAGGAAAGAGATTGGAAATTTAAAACACATTGGACACATTTTAAACCACTTTTAGTTTTACTGGTAAAATGATATGTAAGTAAAGCTATATAGAGTTTATTACCAGATGTTTTGATGATTCTATATAGTGAATGTAGGTTAAACATTTTACTTCATCTGACATTAAATTATGTGTCACTGTTTTTTTAATCTGTAAATAAATGAAATTATGTGTCACTGTTTGTATAATCTTGATTGTATGTAACTGTGTGTCCAGGACTCCCTTGAAAAAGAAGTTCTTAATATCAATAGCACTTTCTCTGTTAAATGAAGGATGATGAATGAAAGGGATTTTGATGTTGGAATTCTGCGTAAAGTAAATCAATACTCAGAAAAACAGATTAAAAAGCCATAAAGATGGACCACCAGCCTGCATCCTCACAAATTCAACGCGATAGTAATTTATTATCTTTTATAACTCGGAAGAATGAGTCAGAAAGACTTCATCTTAACCATGAAATTTTGAAATCCTGTTTGCTTGAACAATTTGCCATGTAATTCTGGTGTTCAAAGCAGAAGGATTTCAAAGTTTATTTTACTAGACCCTCTGTACAGCTTCTCACCCCGGACACACTGGGCCACAGCTTACATAAGAAAGCAGTTACATCCGCACTGAAGACTATTTTTAGAATTTTTAGGGTCAAAAAATGTGTCTTTTCAATGAAGACGGAAGGAAGTGAAGGCCATTAATCTCACATGGGATATCACCATTCTCTGCAAACATCTTGTGCTTTTTAAACTTGGCCTAAAATCAAGAAATTCACAAAGATTCTATTTCCAAATGAAAATAAACAATATAGGCCTAACACTTGTTTGATTGTAGTAATTGGTGCTGAAATCCAAGTTTCTTGGTGTTTTTCTGTTTGCCAAATGCCCTTTGGAGACTGGCATGAGCAAGCAAGAAGGTCCTAGGTTCGAGTCCACCTGTCCAGACAACCTCTCCAGGCCTTCCAGTGTGGCGTTTGAATGTTCTACCCGTGTTTTTGATGATTGGAGGTTTCTGCGTCTCGTGTGTGATGTGTTGGAAATGACTGGTACACCAAAACTTGTGAAGCTCTTTGTCTGACTTGGGTCTGTTGAATGCGCTCTACAAATTCAATACACTGTGTTTTTATTTTTTTTGTCTTAACTTGAGTATATTGTGACTGTCTTAAAACAAGATTTTCCAATGGGACAAAGGCAAGATAAATGCTTCCCAATTTTAGCCATTTTTGACTTGTTTTTCATCACTTTTTGCAGTATAGAGATGACTTATTAAGGCCAGTATTAATGAATTCTCTCAACTCACCTTTAGATACTGTCGGCAGGTTTGAGTACAGCCTTTGAATCGCAGCATATCTGTCTTTGGCATCATGAATACGGCTCACAGATCTGTCAAAATAAATAAATACACATCTAAACAAACACAGCTGGGGTTAGGTTATCTAGACTGTTTACAATGCCAAATGCGTCTTGTATCATCCATCACCACTTTGTGTCAATGTAGTGCTCCATTGAACCTTTACAACTAATCCTAACTTAATCCCATTCCACCGCCTCGCAGAGTATGTGTTATTTGTCAATGCCAGCTTAGTCGCCTGATAGCCACTCCATTATATCTGTTTGTGACTAAAGTGTTTACAGTTAGGGGTCAGGTGAGCGTTTAGCTATGTTTGGTCTGCTCATGTAAGCATTTCAGTTTAGCAGTATGTAGTTAGAGTAGTGTCCTGGACTGTTCCATGTGTTGATGGATGAAAATATTCAAATCAAATACACAAACAAACAGGTGTCAGGATTATTTACACCCCGAGCCATCAAAGCATTATGGAATTATTCTGTTTAAATTAGTCTCCCGCTAACTGACAGATTCATGCTTCACTCATCTTCGATTTCCAGTTGACGTTAAACAAGTACAAATGTCTGTAATTCGAGAAACATATTTTGACGTATGAAGTCCTGCGTCGTTGCCAACCAGCATTTACAGGCTCCATTTCCACTGTTTCCTTGTCAGCTGTTGCAACGCGTCTGTAATGTATGTTGTGCCTCGAAGCTGCAACATGAGCGCTGCAGAAATGTGCGTCTATAATGCCAGGAATCTCCAACTCGTTTTACCAGTTCAGCCGCTCGCACTGAGGACACGTCTGAATTATGGCAGCGTTCAAAAGCTCTATGACGCATCACGGCCATTTCAGCGATTTCCCACATCTGCATTTTGGTGCAGCTATTATTAGGAGCGTGTCACACTGTCGCAGGGTTTTATTCTAATGACAAAATTAGTTGGTGTTGGTGCCCTGCGACCGCACCGCCTCGGGGGAAACGAGTCGGGCAACAAAGAGGTCCATTCAACTATTTCAGCGGAAAAAGCAAGAAATAAAATGTGAAAGACTTTATATATTATTCATTAGTAGAAATTTAAATCAAATTTGTAGAAATCAGAATCGCATCAAATTGAACGGACATAACAGGATGTGTCCTTTAAGTTCTCTTCAGTGCATTCATCATTTGCACAACAAACTTACATATAATAATAATATTAATAATAATAATAATGCATCGGCTTTATACTTTCTTTTCAGACACTTAAAGACATGGCATTATTCATTTATGCCATGTGTGTGCAATCAGCCACTCAGACCACCACCAACCATTGACATGCCCATCGGATTCAATGTGAGTGATTTGTCTTTCCTAAGGACACAATGACAGTTCAGCACTTTAGAGCCACCCCACTGCGGAACCTGGTGTTCCCAGAGGTCTCCCATCACAGTGCAAACCAGTGTCAACTCTGCTTAGCTTAAGAGGTGTGACAGGATCTTGCTTTCACCTGCAGGTGGCCACTGTGTACATTCTCAGAAGCTGAAAATAACTAAACATTGCTTCAGTGGGTACATTCACTCTTTCACTTACTGCTACTTCTGTAACTCACAACAAACAAACAACAACAGGTAGTCTGCAGAATCACTGATTTGATGTTTTTAACCCTGAATTTGTGTTGGATTACTGTAGGAATCTAACGCATGGAAAAAATAGTAATGAATTTGTCATTGTCAGAATCAGAATCAGAATCATTTTTATTGCCACGTAAGTAACAGGAGGTCACAGACTAGGAAATTGCTTGTGAAGAATTGTGAAGTTGCCATTCTTTTTACTTCCACTTGAGGGCAGTCTCAGGCAGCCTGAACGCAGTTCTGTGTGTCTCTGGTCCTGACTCGTGGATAAATACAGTCTATACTTGTACCTTGTAGAAGGACGTCACTTGGGGCCACGTAAGATTTGAGGATGTTTGAATGAATCCATATAAATGGGTCATCATCCGCCATAATGAAGAATAGCATTTTCAATTTACATATCTGGCAAAATAATATGCTGCATCCTGCAAATCCCCTCGTGTTAAAGATCCTGATTACCTGTATGTATTTACATTCATTTTATTTCACTTTTGCGTTTTCCAAAGTTACAGTGTCCTAAAACGACACTAAATAGGCTGCTGGTAGCGTCTAACATTCTTTTATCGATAAGGTTACACTCTTTATGGACTGACAATATAAATAAACAATATCAAGCTGTTTATTATGTTAACACTAGGATTCCCAGAGCAGTCCTTTTGACGGCTCACATTCAAATGAATTAAATTCTACAATTTTAGTTTTTAACTAGTAGTAATTAATTTGGCTTTTATCCTCAATGCATGAGGATAACTGGTTAGTATGAATTAAGTATGAATTAAAGGCACACCGTGTAACTCTTGGCCACTAGGGGCGCTAGACCTGCAACTTTCACGTTTAGCGCCCCTAGTGGCCACAAGCAACTCAGCACTGTCGCAAAAGTCAACAAACAGTCAGCCGGTGTCTTTTGAGTGTGTATTCAGACAGCATGCACTGGTGTGTGTGTTCAAACTGTAGAGACATGCCTACAGATATTGAGAGACTCTGCTGTGGTCAGCCTCCAGACCGCTGCATTAGTAATCTACCACACATGGACTTCTATATCCTGGATGAGGGAGTTCTGCGTCTAGCTCGTGCTGCGTGGAATGACATCTTTGCAGTCGATGACATCCAGGAACCAGGTGAAGAGCAGCGCTCATACAGACATGCAGCTTACAGCACGATCCCTTTCGCGTTTCCTCTTTTTAGCCTCCTCCGAAGGTTTAAAATTTTTCCTTGCCTCAGCCATGACCAGGAGTCGAGCAGGTGAAAAATGAGTAGCAAAAGCCTTAGCTCCATGAGTATATCAGCGCCTGTAGCCGTAAAGCAAGTCTTTCTTCCAAGTCACGTGACCTGGTGGCAGACGGTCCGTCTGCTCGAAACTTACATGGGCGGTATTTCAAGAGGGCAGCCCCGCTCGGAGCATTGCAAGTGTCAAGCGCTGTATATTGGCCCAAGTATTCATATAAAATAACTCATATGTGTCAACTCTTTAGGTCACAAAGTCCGCGGTGTGCCTTTAAGTATAGCAAAACTAAATGCTAACTGCTGCAAGTAAACAGTGTGTTGCTATGGTAACTAGCCATTTCTCCAAGCTGACATTACTCTGAACGAGTCTAGGACCAGTCCAGGTTCAAGATAATTTCATAAAGTTAATAATATATAAACAAACTAAATATAGAAACTGAAAAAGTCCCAAAGTTTTGAAGATCAACACAGTACATAAGTGGAGTAATTACAGAAAAAGCCGTCAAATTGACTGCTCTGGGAGTTCTAGAGTTAATAGAAAGTGAACTTGTGGCGTGGACCTTGCTGTGGAGTGCAGTGGTCGTGCAGCCCGCTCTCATAGATGGCCAGCCAACAGAAGCAGTAAATTACTCTAATGGCTTTCCAATGGTCTTTAATTCTCCATTTAGTGAGAAAAGAAATGTCAGGCCCAATGAAAAGGTTAATGTAAGACTCACCCGCTAATAAACACAGAACAATGCAATTAAAGGCCTTCTTTACTCACTGGACACACACACGCTTTGCCTCTGAGCACACTACTCATCCATTTCTAAATTAAATACTCACTTTTGGACTAAATGTATGAAATTAATGGAGTGGTATTTTAGAGGCAGACACAGGGTGATCAGATTCCGGAGCCGCAATCACCAAGATTGGTCAGAAAATTGAATATTTTACTTGGCACATTAATAGTGATTAAACGATTACATAGAAAATTGGATTATCGCAAAACGCCCGCAAGCTAATGAAAACTTGATTTGAGTAAGAAGATGCATTTATTTTTAATTTTACTCGTACATCAAACAGAAGCGCACAAATAGGCTCGCCTCTGTATAAAAACGCAATCATAAAAAAATATGTAATCCAAGTTATGTTTGTTTGTTTTTCAATCACCCTCTTGCAACGCTATGGATACTGTATGTGCAGGGGAGCGAACTGGTCTGTACAGGGGCCAGAGAAAAAGCAATGCTATTTTTTGCGTTTCTATTTTAATCTATTGCTAGCAAGTGCGGCTTAAAAATATGTATGTATCAGCGTGCTCGTGTGTCTCGGTCATATGTCATTAACCAGTGAACAAAAATTGCTGAAGGTTAGAAAAATGTGAACATCGTCGTCAACAATATCACACCCAAAAACACATATGGGGCCACAAATACAGGATTATTAATCAGGGGCCGGACATCTGGACGTCCACTGAACCAGAGAGGTGAGGAGGAACTGGTATTTATTTTTTTGCCAAGTCGTTGAATGTGCAGTAGCAGAGTGGTTACCTCGCCTTTACCTCAGTCTGCACAGGTCATCTGCTTTTTGCTCCTTAAGCTTCTGTATGGATGGTAGTTCCTTGCTTCTCTCTCAGCTGTGAAGATAATTGAGTTGGCCCTAAAAAAAAATAAAAAAACATGAGGAGATGGTTTACTGAACATTGCAAGTAACACATTTTATAGATGAATAAGTGCAGTATAAAAAAAACAACTTGTGTACATCATACATAATAGGCCAGGGAAAAGACTTTAAAACAGACTCTACACGTATCTGCATGACAAAAGTACATTATTGACATGTTACTCCTAGATGAACCAACTCGGACTTTTAGGAGCACAGGGACTGGCCTCCTGCTGGGACTCTGAGGAGCACAGGGGCTGGCCTCCTGCTGAGACTCTGAGGAGCACAGGGACTGACCTCCTGCCGGGACTCTGAGGAGCACAGGGGCTGACCTCCTGCTGGGACTCTGAGGAGCACAGGGACTGGCCTCCTGCTGGGACTCTGAGGAGCACAGGGACTGGCCTTCTGCTGGGACTCTGAGGAGCACAGGGACTGACCTCCTGCTGGGACTCTGAGGAGCACAGGGACTGGCCTTCTGCTGGGACTCTGAGGAGCACAGGGACTGGCCTCCTGCTGGTGCCCACAGTCAGAACTAAACATAGGGAGGCAGCCTTTCAGATTCATGCAGCTAAAATCTTGAACAATCTTCCCGAAAATGTGAGACAGACTTCTTCTCTGTTTAGCTGTGCATACAACTGGCTTTATCTTGCTATCTTTCTTGTTAATGTTCTGTAATTATTCATGATTTTAATGCCTTGTGTGATTGTTTCTATCTTGTTTCTTTCAGCACTTTGAGTTGCCTCATGTATGAATTGTGCTATACACATAAACTTGCCTTCACCTTGCCTTGCCATGACGTGTCATTAGGACAATAGGAAGTCAAGGTCCTCTCCCACTCTCAATATTGTAAAGGCGAGCTCAAACCCCTCCCCATTCTCAATAATTACTGTCCATTTAGATGATTACCTGTAATTACTTGTTAGCTGTCAGCATTAGACAGACACCCAACTTGGGAGTCAGGAGGTGCGAGACAAGAGGGGAGAGGAGGTGGAGGAGTATAGAAATGAGATGGTGCACGGGCCAGAGGTGCGGGTATTGAAGATGCCGGCGTAGCGGGACGAGATAAGGCGCGTCGGGAGAAGTGATGCTGATTGGGTGAAGATTGCCGTGGGAGTTTGAGGAGGTGTGGGAGGAGAGGACGGGGGCAATGTTGACAGTGGTTTGTGTCAACCAGGGTCGAGCTGCGGCTGTGTGTTCTTTCAGTCGCTGTCCATCACTGCGTTAATGTCCTCTTCATTTGCGCAGATGAGAAGGACCTCTGACAGTGCTGTAATTTGAGGTCGGCGGATCTGTGCTTGGATGACAGTGATGCTGTTTTTAATGCAATAATGCGGTTCCAGCAAAAGCAACTTGTGGGTAATTCCATCAGAAAGTGGTTTTCTGTTTTATTGTAAATTTCTCCATTGTGGGATCAATAAAGTTTATCTTATCTTATTTGTCTGTGTCATTGAAGTATAGGCTGAGAGGCAAGGCAAGTGTAGTGGTATAGCGCAATTCATAAGGCAACTCAAAGTGCTGAACTAAACAAGATTGAGACAGTCACACTAGGCATTAAAATCATAAATAATCACAGTACATTAAAAAGAGGGAAAATAAAAATCCCCAAGTTGTATGCAAAGCTGAACAGAACTGTTTTTAACCCGCATTAGAACATTGTCAGAGAAGAAGCCAGTCTCATATTTTCAGGAAGACTCCAGATGTTCCAGATTTTAGCTGTATGAATCTGAAATGCTTAGTTCTGACTCTGGGAACCAGCAGGAGACCAGTCCCTGTGCTCCTCAGAGTGCGAGTTGGTTCATATGGCACTAATGTCAACAATTTGTATGAGAGGGTTGTAAAAAAAAAAAAAAAAAAAAAAAGGAGTTGACTTTATTTCTCAAACTGCTCACCTGGGAAATCGATCAATTACGTTTATTTTTGTATAGCCATATAGACATATTGGAGAATCAAAAGCCCTTGGTTCATAGGGCGCAGGATGACCAATGTCCATGAATGTTAATAAATGAGCACAGATATTCATTGTATTTCTATATTTGAATTACACAGCTCAAAATAAGAGAATGACACTTTTGTACATGAAACATACATAGATACATAATTCAGTTTTTTCCAAGCAAAGCCTCTCCTACCTTAGAACTACAGCTTTAGTGGAACTTAACATTTTCTATAATCTGGTACAAAGCATCTTTCCTTTCACACTGTCCCTGATCAAATAAAAACAAACCATGCCATACCACATCATACTGTGCGTATTCTTTACTCAGCAACACTACAATGCATTAATACTTGAATCATGTTATTGTTATTCTGACATTTCAAGGTTAATTGTTCATTTGTAAGGAATGAAGTGCACGTGTAGAACAAAGCTGAACACTAGAGCAAAACATAGAAGATTTTAAAGAAAAGCACAATCGTTGTGTGCTTCCCAATAGATGGCGCTATAGACCCTTGTTCATAACTTCATTCTGCAAGAACGTATTTATTCTATTCTATTCCGTTGGTAAAATTGCCCGAGTAAGTAATGCTTATTTATATAGCAGTTACACGGCTTTTTGAGGACTTGAGATGATCTTTACTAGTCTGCTGAAAGTTCAATTAAAATCCTCCCAATCCCAAAAAAGAACATTAACAATAATTTACATCGCAAACTTTTTTATGTATGCACTTGTCTTGGGGACTTTTGCGGATATATTCCAATGTGGTTTTGCTGCAAATGGCCAATAGAAGGTATCTGATCTGAATCTGAATCTGGATCTAACTAATCAGTCTTATAATTATAAATCAGGCCTTGAGGTACAACGCCGTGGCACGCTTTGTCTTATCTTCCTTTCATTCACTTGTCTATAGTCTGGAAGTGAAAGAATGGATTTGTTTGGGTCTTTCCACATGCAAATGGCACACAAGTACAGCAGTCCAAGAGCTTATAGTGTTTACAGATCTCCTCTATACACACGGTGCGTCTCTCTCTCCGCCGATCAGCCCGGGACCCGCTGATGCGCGCTCGTCTCTCCGCCCTCCCACTTGTCCCTCCTCTCTCCTCAGAGATCATTCTGTCACTCTCCGCACTTGTCTCTTCAGTCAAGGAGAAACTAATTGGAAGAAAGAAAAGAAGACCGGTGCTGCTTTGCCAACCAAACAAACTGTAGCTTTTCGCGATGCCACAGAAAGGTAAGGAGTGACACGCGTCTGACTTTACCTGGGGACAGAGGGACCGATGCGGGCTACAATCTTTACAAGTGTCTTTGGGATGCGTTTTCTACAAAAATGGATGTAAGTAGTTGACCTCTACGACTTAAACTTTTATACAAAACATGTACAAGTTGAAACAGTGCGTCACGTTGCCCGCGCGTATGCGTAAAGGTTTGAAATCAAATTGTTCAAAAGGCAGTCATTTTGGAGTTTTCATTCAAAAGGCAGTCTCTTATTGACCTGTCCATGTTCTGGTAGTCTATTGGCATTGGTCATTTAATATATATGAAGGCCTATGCGGACATCATTTGAGCAAGAGCCAAGAATTGTGGACTTCGCTATAAACTTTTTTATTTGGTTGTTTTTGGATGCACTAAATTGTATATCCCACTTATTCTTTGTCCAATTCTAGATAGGCTTTGTTCTTTGGCAACATAATGAATTAAAAAGTGCATCTGACGTGCAGTTCAAAAGCTCGTTGATCTAAAGAAGTTTTTTTTACAAGTAGGCCTTTAATCCTATTGTGAGTTTAAAGCATTTATTAGGCCTAATTAAAAACACAAAAAGATTAAACTATGTATTAGCCCATTTTGAATATCTTTCTCACTCGAGCATGACCTGAATGGCACATAAGAATTTAGATTATTTAACAGCTGTACGCATTACCAAAATATTTAAAGCAAACTCGTTTCCATCTGAATCTCTCTTGGTTTCGTGGAGGCCTGGACTTTGGGAAACGGAACCTCAACGGAATGTAGTTTCCAGATTAAAAAATGCCGTTTCCCGTTCATTAAATAAGCCAATTAAGCGCTTGATTTCTTCTGGCGCAGTGGACTGATCCAACACGTGAACTTGTGAAGGTGCAGTGCGCGCGGCTGTGACGGCTGGAGCCCACGTCCCATATGTTTGACGCGCGAACACAGAGCGCACCTGAGCCGTGGCCTCTGACTCAACGAGCTATAAGGCCGAAAGTACAGAGCCAACTAATTAAAACCTATTCATTATCTATAAGTCTGCATTATGTTATATCCTAGAAAAAAAATATCCTTACCTCACCAAATAACCCTGTATTAAAAAAAGAGCCAAACGTCTATCTATTTTACTGCTAAGCGATGTTGAAATAAACCTGTGGCATCCATCACAAAACACGCACTTGAGCCACAGTTTTCCCTATGTTGTAGCTTTTGGGAAAACGTTGGGATTATGTGCGCGCGACTATGAAACGGTTCAATAATAAAATATAAAAAAAACATTTGAAAGCCTATACTTTATCCAACTTTCGCAGACAAAACATAATTTTAGAAGTGAATACAAATGTTGCCAAAAACGTTTATTACTAGTGCTATAATCTTCAACATGTTTCGATATTGTCAGTAAATCTGAAAAGGTTTGCTCAAGAAAGAGCAAAAAAAAAACTTCATTGGTATGGCACGAAAATAGATCTGACTATTAAAACAAAAACTTGGTAAAGGGCAAATTGTAAGCCTTTAAAAAAATAATCCAATAGCACAACACAATTAGAATCTTTTATGACCTATAGATTTACTTTTGATGATAAAATTGCAATGAAATAAAGAATAAGCAGTGTGTATAATCTGAAATATTAAAGTTTTCTCTCTCTTGTCCAGACTACAGAGGCCATACAGGCTGGGAGAGTGGCGTGGCCAGCATGATGCAAACCAGTGAGTATGCAATTTCTATATGAGGACTTAAGACTGAATAGGCAAGTTTGATGAATTTACAATGTACAGATCAAGAATGTGTCCAACTGTGTCAGCACAAGACTGTAATCATGCTTTATAAAACACCAGCGTTTGGTCAGTAACTCATGCTGCTTTCTCTTACTGCGGCACAAGAGGTCCGTGCTGCCTACAGTGAAGGTGTGTGATCTCTTTCTTCAGCTCAGACCTGCTCTGCCTCCCCATCCCATCACCTCTGCTCATTTCTGAACCCTTTTCCTAAATACACACATCATCTCTGGGGCACAAAGTCACTTAGAGATATGATTGAAGACAAATAAATACATTCCAACTTTGCTGTGACAAACTGTAGGAGGGATAATAACAAGGTTGATCAAAACTGCCAACTCAGCACCTGCATCTTCACACGGATCAGTTGACTGAAGAATCAAACATTTAGTGTAGATTTACTCCAAACATGAAATAATAAATAAATATGGGGCCGGTTGGCGCAGTCTCCAGGGGCCACACGTGTGCCACAGAGTCACAGCCAAATTGACTCCATATGTTTGTCAATTAATTGTGCTTCAGCCGAGCACAGCACAGTACCCTCTGGGACCAGCCTCTTATTAACATATTACTGTGGTCCTAATGGTGCGCACTCAAAGACCCAGAACAGGATAGACTTTAGTATGCATTATTACAAGGATAAAAAAAAAAAATAGTAATTAAATAAAATCACCTGCTTGAAGCTTAACATCTCCAGTGATTCTACCTGCAGGCTCCCACATCTCACATCACTTATTAATATTTGATTAATGCCCCTTTCTCACCTGAGCCATTAATGGAAAATACTCAATGGATTTGGATTAAATCCCTGCTTAACCTGCTACTGCGGAGTTCCAATAAGTCAGACCGGCAATATGTTAATCACTTTCTCCATCACATTTTCACATCTGCTTTGGTCTCTGTCAGGGCGTCCACAAACCTGAGGGACTGATGCATGTGACAACACAATATGGGAGAAGTTGAAGTGTTACAGTAAATACTTTAGTCAATATGTCAAAATCAAAATATTATGTTCCAGACATCTTTAAACTTCAAATTATGCGAGGTAGACTATTTCTTATGTGGTACTTTTCTTGCCTCAGGTGAAATTTGCTTTTCTTTTGGTAAAATGCCTCTGAAATGATGTTAAATGTTGCATAATGCAGCTGAGCCCCAGGCCGTCTCTCCCACCCCGTGCTTGTGCAGCGCTCTTTCTGCATGTGGCGTTATTCCTACAGGCTCTCAGCTCTCTGCAGCATTAAAGTATGTGGCTGCAGTCAGGTGCAGCTCTGTCCTCACGCTGTGTTGTGCACATGTAGGTCACAGCGGGGTGAACCAGCTCGGAGGCGTGTTTGTGAATGGAAGGCCGTTACCTGACTCAACCAGGCAGAAGATCGTGGAGCTGGCTCATAGCGGCGCCAGGCCATGTGACATCTCTCGGATACTGCAGGTGTGTACGCCTGCAGAGAGGAGCAGTGCAAATATCACTGGCATATCAGGGATGGATGGATAGAGATCTAAGACAGAGAAGTGTGTACTTGAAGTGTGTGAAGTGCATACAGCTGTGTTGTTGCAGGACACTCAACATTCAACAACATTTATGGACCTTTATCAATCAATTCCCTTATGGACCAATACCAATGTGTTTTCTGTTCTTTTTCTTGTGTTTGAATTGTTTGATTCTCTGATCTGTGTTGGCAAATTCAACGGTTTTGTTGAATTCCTTAGAAATACCTATTGTCGTGATTTCGGATTTAGGGAAGATTAAACTGAATTGAATTGAATTGAAAATATTATACTTTGGAGTACTGAGAATACCAACTCATTTCAGTTAGCTCAAACAATACTTTTGATAAACACACTTTTACCTTCCAGGTGTCCAACGGTTGTGTGAGTAAGATTCTGGGTCGTTATTACGAGACCGGTTCCATCCGGCCGCGGGCCATCGGAGGCAGTAAGCCCCGGGTGGCAACCCCTGAAGTGGTGGGCAGGATCTCCCAGTACAAACGAGAGTGTCCGTCCATCTTCGCCTGGGAGATCCGGGACCGGCTGCTAGCAGAGGGAATCTGCACCAACGACAACATCCCCAGTGTAAGTGTTTTCATCACGGAATAGTTCTTCATTTCAATAATTGTTTGTCCAGTGTAATCTTTTGTCTCATAGATAAATGTGGCTCTAATATGTCTCACTCACATGTTGTCATGACTCACAGGTATCGTCCATAAACCGGGTGCTCAGAAACCTGGCCAGTGACAAGCAACAAATGTGCCCAGCAGGAGCCGAGGGCATGTTCGACAAACTCAAAATGCTCAATGGGCAGGCAGCTTGGGGAGGACGCAACAGCTGGTTCCCCGGGACCACTCTCACTACTAACGGTGAGGAAAACTCTACACTCAAAAGTTCTAGAAAAAATTAAATACCAAATAGAAAAATAATATAATAAGTTTTATTCACTCATATTTACTTGCATATCTGTAGATAAAATCAGTATAATAATCATAAATGTAGCAGGAAAAAGTAAAGAAACTGACATTTATGTATGATTAAAATCAGTATTACATATATATAATCAAGAGGTTAATTACATAAAAGCCTATGATTGGGAGTGGCAAGGCTGGTTATAATAATATAACAATAATCTGTGTTCTCATAATGAAGTTGGTGCTAAAACCTGGCTACATGTTCATAATGAGTGCTTTATGGAGGATGTCTGTGGTCCCAGCTCGCTGATAGACCTTCTGTGTGCGTCGCCTCAGTGAGAGGGCAGTGCCGACGTCTGCTCTCATTTGTATCTCTTTCTGCCTGACTGACTGTGACACTGAGCAATGGCTTCATTCTGTTTTGCAGCCTCTGTCTGATGGGAATAATGAATAATTAGCCTTGCACCAGAAAAAACATGCATTCCACCGGGAGCACAAATCACGCTGCTCTGCATCTCCGTAGCAGGAGCATAGTCTGATTTCTCCAAGAGATAAAGCACCAAAACTCAGACTTATTTAAGACAGAGTTTGAATTTAAACTGCAGGTCACACACATGTTCACACACCTTTCATCTTTATATATTATTAATCAATCAATTTTGAATCAATTTTTATTCATGAAGCCCTTTACAACACTCAAGGTGACCAAACTGCTTTACAATAAAATCACATAAAATCCACTAAAACACTCATGCACTCAAAAAATAAAGTTAAAAAGCATTCAAAAATATGATAAAGTCATTATTAGTCAATGAAAAATAACTCAATTTATTAATGTATTTAAATTTGGTTCATGGGGTGGGAGTCTAAACATTTTGACTTCTTTCCCATTCCATTTTGAGCTGACAAATCGTAAATAAAAATACATTAGTACCAACACATGCCGAAACTATGGCAAATACTGTTGCTCAATTGTATATTTACGTTTATATATTTGCATATATGTGTATATACTGTAAGTCCAGTATAGGCAGCATAACAATGTACAAAAGTATCTCCATAAACTAAGGAATGTAAATATTGTAAATACTTTTATAAAAGTATCATCTCTGCTCAAATTAATATAACCAACCAGTTAACCAATCCATCAATCTTCAGTCACAAATATGAAACTACACATAAACTGTTTAAAGTTGCAGGATGTGAATACGAAAGAACGGACAGTAACTTAAAGGTGTGTGCAGATTGTCTGGAACCAGAGGGGACCGAGAACACCATCAGTGCAAACAGCGACGACTCGGAGGAGACGCAGATGAGGCTGCAGCTCAAGAGGAAACTCCAGAGGAACCGCACCTCCTTCACACAGGAGCAGATAGACGCGCTGGAGAAAGGTAACTGCCCCTTTAAATGCACTTGGCGGAAAGCAGATTTGGATGATTCTTTTTTTTGATAATTTGATTGTGTTCTGCCCTCAGAATTTGAGAGGACGCATTATCCAGATGTATTTGCCAGAGAACGATTAGCAAACAAGATCGACCTCCCAGAAGCAAGAATACAGGTAAATTATTGTTGTTGTTGCTGTTTTTTTTTTTTTATATCTGTGTGTTTGTATGTGTGTGTTTGGTAGAATTGGCAACACTGCAGTATCCTCCATATATATTTATATCTGTCATGTGATGAGAGCTGGAGGACTCAAACGCAGGAATGCAAAAATAAAGGTTTTAATAAAACAAAGTCCAAGGCATAAAAATAAACTCGAAAATCCAAAGAAACCAGAACAGGACATGAACAAGACAAGAACAAGACAACAAGGGGAGAGAAGCACAGGGTACATATAGACACACACAGACACAGGTGAAACACATCAGGGCGGGGCAGACAATCAACAGGGAACAGGGCATGAAGCAACTGTCAAAATAAAACCGAATACAAAAATAAAATCCACACCATGACAGTACCCCCCCTCCAAGGGACAGCTCCCAGATGTCCCAAAAAGCCCAAACGCGCGCCAGGGAGGGCGGAGGGGGTCCGGCGGAGGGACCAGAGGCAGCATAGAAGCAGGGAAAGCCTCAGGTCCGAAGCAAAGTCCAAACGAGTCAGGAACAGAAGCTGAACCCCAGTGACGACCTTCCACAGGGAAACTGGCACACCCCGGGCGAAGGCGAATGCCCGGCGGTGACCCAGACACAAAACAGAACCACCCCAGACGGACATCAATGTCTGGCGGTGGCAACAGGTGAGGGGAAGGAGAGGTCATCGCAGGGCTGCAGACAGACGGGAACATCCAATGCAGGGCGTCGCCGTTTTCCTTGACGGGTCAGGAGGGAACAGGGCACCAACCCGGGCAGAGAACAAAGCCCAGCGGTGGCACAATGACAGGCACAGCAGACAACCACCCCAGACGGAGGTCAATGTCTGGCGGTGGTTCCAGGAATAAGGTGGTCAAAAGTGGAACAAAGAAAAAAAGCAAAAATAAATAAAAACCTGAGTTCTGATCAACTGAGAGCAGGTGTGGGGAAATACGCATTCTGCTGAGTCCTTTGAGTGGCTGGTTCATTCTGTCATGTGATGAGAGATGGAGGACTCAAACGCAGGAATGCAAAAATAAAGGTTTTAATAAAACAAAGTCCAAGGCATAAAAATAAACTCGAAAATCCAAAGAAACCAGAACAGGACATGAACAAGACAAGAACAAGACAACAAGGGGAGAGAAGCACAGGGTACATATAGACACACACAGACACAGGTGAAACACATCAGGGCGGGGCAGACAATCAACAGGGAACAGGGCATGAAGCAACTGTCAAAATAAAACCGAATACAAAAATAAAATCCACACCATGACAATATCATTAGAAAAGATGGCACAATGGCTGAATGTGATTTATTATTGCTTGGCAGGTTTGGTTTTCGAACAGACGAGCGAAATGGAGAAGGGAAGAGAAGCTAAGGAATCAACGTCGGCAAGCGTCAAATACGACCAATCATATTCCTATTAGCAGTAGCTTCAGCGCAAGTAAGTATCACAAAAGGCAAAGATTTGTCCGTTTTGATTTCTTCTATTGAGTCTAGTATCGCTGTCTGTTCTAGTGCCTTTTTCATCAGGATCCATGCTGTCGAGGTCGGAACCCATCTTGTCAAACAGCTACAGCTTCAGCATGGCCACCAGTCTGCCTGTGCAAGTAAGCGAATCATTAAAGGGGAAGTAATGTGTTCCGATAACTGTCACCGTTTACTAATATTGTTTTGTTTTTCTCAAATTTACAGCCGTCAAACCATAGCTCTTATTCCTGCATGCTACCCAGCGGCACCGCACTAAACGGCAGAAGTTATGAGACGTACAGTGCGAGTCATATGCAATCACACATCAACAGCCAATCGATGTCGTCCGCGGCAACGTCCTCAACAGGTACAGAGCATCTGCTGCTTTTTTCGACGTGAAAGAAATCGCTTATCTGTGACGGAGCACTCATTACGCATAACATTATGAGCACCTGCTATGGAGAAGTCTCCTCTCGCACCATCTGCCAGTGGGACTTTTTGGTCGGGCTGCATAGGTTGGAAAAAATAAAAAATAATTCTGACCAATATTGTGTTTGCGATGCGATTTTTGATCTCCTGTATGATTAAGAAGTCTTTAAGAATTGAGAATCTTGTAGAAAGTTAAAAAGCAACTTCAGGAGAGTTTCTCACTCTCTTATAGGCAGACATGAGTTCTGTACTTTTTAACAGTTTGTATAAATTATGATAAAGATTAGATATCTCGATTGAATTGAGAAAATAACTCTTCTGCCGGACGACAAGCTCCATCAATCTTTGAAAATGTTCTCAAATCAAGAAACATGATTTGCTTATCGTCTCATTTTAACATTTTAAATTCAATTTGATGTATTTTTGTATGGCAAAAAAACCACAACATCAGTCGTCTTGGAGGACTTTATAAAGTTGTCGATTCACCAATAACAGATCAGAGAATCAACACACAGGACATGCAATTATATCAAACACATAGAAACCATTGGTCCATAGGGGGCGGGATGATAAATACACATAAATGTTAATAAATGTCCATAAATGTCCTGGATTGTCATGGCCTGTATCTGTGAATAATTCTAAAACATTGTCGTGTTTGTGATGGTGAAATTGAGACCGCAAAAGCTGATTTTGTTTTGAATGTGTGTGTGTTACAGGCCTGATTTCACCGGGCATCTCCGTCCCAGTCCAGGTCCCAGGAAGTGAAGGCGACATGTCACAATACTGGCCCCGTTTACAATAATATCAGTGACGCTTCTTCAAAGTCCAAATGCATGTTTCTCACATGAGTGTACAGGATCTCAGCAGAAGAAACTCTCATTTAAAGTTCAATTCCTAAAACACTGCATACGAACCCACATGCACTTGAAGTTGTTTTATTGTAAATATTCTGTTTATACATTTGTTATTTTTTTGTAAATATAATCTGATAATAAAGTTATCTGAAATGCACTTTCTATTGTTTAATTAAGTCTTTTTGTATTTATCATTATTGTATGCGACACGTCAAGAGCTAGCAGCTAACTCTTTTCTCTAGTCCCAAACATTATTGCTTCAAAGGTTTACTTCAGTGGGTTACATTTCAGGTGCTCATCAGGATCGGCAGTGAAAAGACACTGGCGACATGTGAGAAAAGAGAAAATCTTAGGGCTTCATGACACTAAATAAAAATCCTTAAATGAACAGTGACTACCTACATGTCTCGGCCATGTAGGGCCTTCTTCTGTTTAAATGTTTTTTGTATTCTGCTGTGCATTTAGATCACATGACAATATCATGTGACAGTTATTGATGATATTTAAACCCCACCTGGTACCAGTGATCTACCTGTCCTAAAGAAGGCCCTACGTGGCTGAAAAGCGTATAGATTAGTAGTCCCTGTTCATTCAAGGATTTTTATTTGGTCTCAACAGTGTCTTGGATTTTCTCAGCATTGCTTCAAATGTTTCTTTATTGTATATTTATAACTAATAATAGACATGATCAGTGATTTATTATCAGTGATTCGTAAAGACCAGGGGATGGTTTCTTGATGTCCTTTTGAGTTCCACATAAAGTCTAACAACTTTTCTCAGTGTAAATTGAGCGAATCCAGTTTGTTGGTTTAACTGTTTCCGAAATATTTCTATATGAGGATTAAGCCAAAGAAGGACAAAAATATGTAGAAAAAAAAGTGAATTCAGTCAAATAATTAAAAAGAGGAATGTGCGAACTCCTTGGAGAAGCTCAGGCCCCACAGTTTGAGAAACTGCAGAAATACTGTTTTCACACAGATCTGTTCTGACACTGAACAAAGACTGTTTGATGTTTTCCTTATAACACTTCTAATAAATGGTCACTTGCCAATTCTACAGGCCTGTCCAAAGCCTGAACCAGAGGCAAACATCTACCTTTCTGTTAACCCCATATAAAACATGTTCAGTTTTGCATTGAGCTTCTAAGGCTAAATATAGGCCTGAATCCTTAATTGAAATGGTGTTAAATGTATAATTTGATCATTCTCTTGTCATCCCTCTTATCTGCTTCATCAGTCTTTCTGTGGCCTTCTGAAAACAGTTTGGTCACTCCTGCAATACAATCTATTTATTCTCTGCCGGAGCAATTAAAGAAGTTTCTAATATAGACAACTCCACTAATTTGACAACTGAAAGAGGTGATAACCAAATGGCTATTGAGGGAGAACATCAGGCTGTCACACTAACCCCAGAGTACAGCCTTGTAAAGTCCTTTACTCTCTGTAGTCCCAGCTTTTCTTTAGGACAATGCCGGGGTCAGGCTGCTCTGCACATCAAATGTAAAGGTCAAACTGATTCGAGAATCAAATGGAGAGGCCAAACAGGGGCACACATCAGACGAGGAGGCTGGACTGGGCCACACACTAGACACATTTAATCTGAGCCTAACAGACAGACACACGCAGCCAATCAGCTCTCACCTCTGGCAGCCCGAGTGCTCCCGGTCATCACTGCGCTTCGTTTTCTTACGTCTTCTCAGGGACAATCTTCTTAGGCCACAATAGCATGGTGGATTCCTTTAAGCCACAATGCAGTGGTGCTGCAGCATGGACAATCCTGTCCAGCTACAAAGCACAACATTCTCTGCTGCTCAGCTTAAATTAGCTGTGCTCTGATACATCTCAATACAGCTTCATCCAGGCTCCAGCATCATTTAAATATGGCTCAAAACATCTCAATTCAAGCTCACTGCCTCTGAATGCACCTTCAATATGCCGTCCCTACATTTCAGCACGGCTCAGTACTTCTCAATGCAGCTGAAACAGGTCTAAATGCGGGCTTGGGGCAGGCCCGTAAGCTCGTATGGACTACCTGGACCCCCAGCCTGGTGGGCCCGGGACACAGGAGCTGCATGAATGAGTGACAGAATGGAGGGGATTCCAGTGGGGATGCTCAGTCAAGAGTTCAGCTTGACTCATAACAGACATGCTTCAGGCTGATTGAACAAGCTCAATACATGTCAGCACTGGCTAAATAAAGTACGTTCATTCACAAATAAAGGAGACTCACTTGGATCAACATTTAGCCACAAATAAAGACGACTGAACAGCTGTCTGAAGAGCCAAGCGTCTTCAGCCGAGGCTTTGGTGCGGAAATCTATGTTTGCTCAAATAATCCACTATCATTGGACGCAATAAAACCAAACAAGAGCGGACATTGAACAAACAATACTTATTCAAACAACGTAATAACAAATATGTCAATAGCACCATCAGTAATTATTCTTTTAAACCATTTCTTAAACCCATTTTTATCGACTGGCCTTCTCATAACATGTATTTCACTTTTCCACATTGTCTGCTTTGCTGTTTGCCTGTTTGCTTCTCTTGTTGTCTGTCTGCTTTAATCTCCTGAATTTCTTTTTGATGTTAGATTAATTTGATTGTTATTATGCTACACAAAAAACGATTTATTTAAAATATTATCATTATTCATTATTATTATGTAAGTTATTTGTATAGCGCCTTTCACAGACCGGGATCACAAAGCGCTTCACATTTAAAAACATACAAGTAAAAAATAAAACACATACAAGTCAAATTTAAAAACGAAGATACGGAAGACGGTCACATGTCGTATAAAAATCCCTGAGTACAAAAGCCATCATAACCATTTCAGCAGTGAGTTTTCATTCGGTAAATACTTCTCACTTCATTAATGTGATGGAGACATTATCAACAGAACGGTGGGGGATTTACAAATGAGTGACATATGAAGATTAAAACCCCACAAATCCTTAATATTTCTGCAATTTAGATATCTATTTTAATTAGTTTGGTTACATTTTGGATACAATTTATTCATAAACTAAATCAGTGAGTTTACATATGTTTTGGATCAGTTATCATTAATATATATATATAATCAGTTATTTAATATATGTACTGTATTTAGCCCAATGTCATGAATTTTTGTTTAATCATTCATGTCCCTTACAAGTCAAAAGTATCATTTCAGACCGTGAGAAAAACAAAAATCATGTGTATTTTGCATCGTGTGTGTAAACTTCAGGGTCCACTGCTGAAAATAACTTGTAAAGGAATTTGAAGGGCTGAGATCAGAGAGTGGTTAAATAATATAGCGATAGAAATAGTCATTATTTATTGTTCATATTTTTCTATATATTTCTTTTTTTTATTTTTTTTTATTTGCTTGCTTGTCTTTCTTTTAATTTATTTTTTGCTTTGTTTTATTGAATTTTTTTTTTACACAAGGGGAGCATAGTGGGGGGCAAAAGGAGAAAATTAGATAAAATGTGTCTCGTTACGCTGTATGTATTTTGTGGTGGTTAAATGAGACTGATCCGGTCTATCTATAAAACGTAGAATTGTAAATAGTTTTATGACTTTATTTGTCGTTGTTAAGTATGAGGTTAGGTCTTTTCTAGCAGCAGCAGCATCAGGAGTGGGGGAGGCGCATGGGTCATGGTGGGTCACTGAGTAGGGGGTCGTAGTGGAACTTCTGGGGGGCATAGAGACCTGGGAAAATGAGCTGAGAGACATTTTGATGCAGTAGTAGTATGGACTGCTAAATTTATAGTATCATTTTGTTGTTTTGCTACAGTCAAGAGCTTGGACCTTCAGCTCCAAACATGAATTGTGGCCCAGAGAAAACACACGCACCTGTCTGTAGGAAATGAACGGTTGATGATCACATTTTTCACTATTTCGTCAGAATTGTAAAAAGATTATATAAAGCGGGAGTACCTCACTTGTTTTACTTCGTTAATTTAGTTAATCCCAACAGAAAAAGTCTTGCTTAAGTAACATTTTGTGAACAAATCAGAGCACAGTATTATCATTTATCGTACTAGAAAACATGTTATGTTTTAGGTGCTGAGAGTTGATTGGATGAGTGAAGATGGTCTCTTTCACTTTTCAAAATAAGATAAGATAAGAGATGCTTTATTCGTCCCACAGTGGGGAAATTTCAATGTTGCAGCGCACATACAGGACAGTAGTAATAGCACACAGGGCCTCTTCTTGCACACATATGCATGTTAGGACGAGTGATGGAACCAAACTGTTCTGAGAGTGAGGTAACCATGATTTTATAACATTGGTAATTTTGTTTTCAAAGTTAGGTACTCCAGCTTTAAAATTGCATTTGGTAATAAAATCGAATTTGCAGGTGATTAATTGCCTCCTCCCAGAAGGTAAAGTCACCACAGGTATTTGTATATGTCTATAAGTCTGTGTGAAACATAACTTAAACAACATTTTCAGAAAACGTGCGCAAAGGCCCAAAGTGAAAACATTTTGGAGGTGTTCCAAATCACCGTCTTGATGTAGCTTTTCTTTTACTACTATAATACTACTATATTACTATTATTTCTCACTGATTTTTGCAGCCAACGTGAAAAGTTTAAATGTTGATGTTACGTTGTAAAAATGATCAAGAATGAACGTTTATTTCTAATCCGTGCTTAGGTTAGTGTTACTGAATGATGTTGAGTCAAGTCTATCATGTCACAAGCAAAACAAAATACATTCTTTCCCAGTTGATGGGTGGAAGGTCCCAAAAAGCTTTAAAGTATAACAAGCTAACCACTCGCTAATGAGATAATAAGGCCTGCAGATCTCTGGGGCAGCTACATGCAATTAGGAAAGACTCTGAGGACCGAGGACTTTCCCTAACAAGGTGGTCACCGGAGGAGAGGTGTCAACAGCCCAGTGCTCTGGTGGTAGGCCGAGGTGACACAGATTTATAACATTGTGTTTAGGAGAGGGAATCGGCTAAAATGTGATGATTCCATAGTTAAACGATATTTGGGCCACAATTCTATTTTATTGCGATTCTTAACATATATATATAAAATTGAGGAAAATGAGGCTTATTTCAAATGTCAAATTAATTTTGGTCTGAACATTAACTGAAGTGCAAAAAAGGGTGGGGAGGGTAGTACAAAAATGTTATCCTTGAAAATTCAGGACACAAGACATAATTATTCTCTGACTCTCACATGAATGGTGAGCTCCAAGCACATAACTTAGATTAATCAAATACGATAGAATAGAGTAACAAAAAGCCGACTTAACAGAGGAACATAAACCTCAGATGTAAATTTCTAGAGTAAACACAAAGAAAACACAAAAGTGAAACAGATGACTAATTTATATTATTTCAAGGTTAATCTTAAACTAGAAAATCTAAAGAAAATCTCCCTGATTATCTGAACTTTGCCCTCACGGTGTAAACTGTTCCAGGAGTGCAATGTTAGATACATTTTGGGGGAAATGCCTATTATACTATTACAAGACTGAGACAGGGACTTTTAGACAGAAGAGGCATGTTTGTGCCAGAAGGGCCTGATATTAGCGTAGATGTATCTAAAAAATATATATATATTTATTGTTTTATTTATTTTTCTCTGCTCTCTCGGCTGCAAATAATTTAAGTATTTGCAGCCGAGAGTGAATAAGGATCAGCATCACCAAATTGGACGTCATGATGCTTGACTGGAAAAAGCTGCCTTGCACCCTCCAGGTGGGTGGAGAGGTCCTTCCTCAAGTGGAAGAGTTCAAGTATCTCAGGGTCTTGAGTGAGGGAACGATGGAGCGCGAGATTAATCGATGGATCGGCGCAGCGTGTGCAGTGATCGGACCGTTGTGGTAAAGAGGGAGCTGAGCCGAAAGGCAAAGCTCTTGATTGATCGGTCAATCTTCGTTCCCTCCCTCACCTATGGTCATGAGCTTTGGGTAGTGACCTAAAGAACGAGATCGCGGATACAAGCAGTCGAAATGAGCTTCCTGCGCAGAGTGGCTGGATGCTCCCTTAGAGATAGGGTGAGGAGCTCGGTCACACGGGAGGAGCTCGGAGTAGAGCCGCTGCTTCTCTAAGCCGAGAGTGGACGTTGAGGGGGCTCAGGCATCATCGGTTTCGGAGGCCTGTTGGACGACTCTCTGGGGAGGTTTTCCGGGAATGTCCCACTGGGAGGAGACCTCAGGGCAGACCCAGGACACATTGAAGGGACTATGTCTCTCAGTTGGCCTGGGAACGTTTCAAGATTCCCGTGGATGAGCTGGAGGAAGTGTGTGTGGATAAAGAAATCTGGGTGCCTCTGCTTAGACGGCTGCCACTGTAAGTAAGTAAGTAAGTAATCTTTAAGCACCTTTTACAGACCAGAGCCACAAAGCGCTTTCAAATTGTTGTGGGGTATGATCCAAATAGACGAAAATAACCACACAATTTTACCCTAACAATATATTGCACAACAGATAACATTGTTTGAATCAATAGTTGAATCAAGAAGGCTCCATTTTGTGTAATGACTGTTGATGAGGAGGTTTTAAACGCGTGGTGAAGGGACAGGTGGGGCCGGGAGAAAGCGATCTAAAGCGCTCTAATTACAGGTAGTGTGTTGGGGAGAGTGATTTTGTGTCCCAGCATGTCTCTTGTCTGTGCCTTCGATATTTGCGCACCCCCTCATTTGAACATCAGCTGTCACTCCCCACCATGCAGCCCCCCCTCACCCACACACACACACACACCCTTGCCAGTTCCATCAAATAAGCCTGCCCAAAATCACTGCAGAGGTAAAGTCATTAGCGCAAGACACGAGTGAGTCATACCTCATCGTAGCTGTCAAACTCCAAACTTTTTTCCCCGTGGCTCAGGTGAAGATGTGAAGATGGACCGGCGTGGGGTGAATAGATGGAGACATCCTTCTGTCAGCTGTGACCTTTGAAGGCTGAGTGACCACAGAAAGCAGAGTCATTACCAGTCTTTATCCCTTTGTGCGTCTTGTCACATCCCGCAGAGAGGACAATAGCTCTGTCATTTACAACACTGAGTCTGAATCTCGGGGCTGGGACCCCCAGTGGGTCACCAGATAATTTTACAGGGTCGTTACTTTGCGTTTCTTTTTTTTTCTTTTTTTACGATACAAATGAACTGCTTTGGGCTTTATAGTTTTGTCATCTGCAGGTTCTGGAGTTGGGTTTTCACAGTAGAAAGTAAAACTATGAAATCAACAAGTATGCGTTAAAGGTATATGGGAGGATTTTCAACTTCCGGGTGGATCATCGAGACTTTTGGTCCTCTTAATTGTCCATCATTCTGCAGATATGTGGTCGTCAAACAAGACCAGAGAGTTTTTTTTAAAAAGTGGAGTGGCGGTTCTTTCCTAAATAATTCTAACCACATACCTTTAACCTTTTTGGCGCCAACTTTTTTCAGAAATATCATGGGAACAAGATTAAATTACACATACATTACCAAAGTAATCAACATTAAAAGGAATTCAGCAGATGTTGATGCTTCAGATCACTATACTACTCCAGTACTAGTATAATGATACTTACTATATTCATTTGAATGCATCGGTGGGGGTGATGAGGTCTATTCTGGGGGTGACGGCCTGAAGAGATTGGGAACCCCAGTGTGGTCCTGATAGATGACTAATAAAACATAATAATAGATATAGATTATAGAAATAGGTGCAAATTAAATGTAGGGAACATTTGTGAAAAGCCAGGTCGCTGTATAAAAAGTGTTATAAAGAGTTTATAGTTATTTTACACTTTACTTTTTTGGGGTTTTTTTTGACAAATACAAGACAGAGATGACTTGTTCTTGAATTAAAAATTAAAAAAGACAATTATTTAAATCTGCAGTATTTATAGACTTATCTGAGTCATAAAACATATTCTCAGTATGTTTAGATCTATGTATTGTTCAAAAAAAGGTCAGTTACAACTATTTTAATAATAAATTAGTTTGAGCTATAAACAGCAACCCTAAGCCACGTCATTCGCCATCAGACTGACTGGACACATCTTAATGGGCCGGTCCTTGTCTGGATGCAGCAACAGTAGAGTTCATATATCACAGCAGCAGCTCCATAAGAGACAGGTTTGAACATGCAGCAAAACCCCAGAGTTTTGTGGACGACCTGATCCCAGCATCGCTGCTCCTCAGAGGAGTCTCCATGGAGACTTAGGCTCCGCTCCTGACAGCTCATGTTCATTACTGTCCCTGCAACTGTCTATGCAAAAACACAACAAAAAAATAATTAAAATGTACATAATTAGACACATTATATTCCCATAAATGTTTTACATAACTATTTATTTTGTTATTATTTGACTTTTATTTCTGTTTCTGTCAGTAGAATTTTAGACATGGATTATTTATTTTTTTACTCACAAAACGTGTGTGTATACATTGAAAATACAGACAAGATCTTTGAATAATGTTTGATTGTTTATTATTGGAAAACTGATAAGAGAAATGTAAACGCAGACTAACTTTCAAAATGGAACTATTAATAAAAATCCATTGAGTTCCTTGCTCTCAAAACAGTCTTTTCTCTCACAGCTTTCACATTTATGTATTTTTGGCTTCAGTCACATCTTGTGAAAACGAGACGACCACTCACTCAGCCAATCCCCTTTCAGCCCAAATGTCAGTCACTCACAGGCCAAAGAAAAACCTATTTAACAATAAGATGAAGACCATAGAGTGGTCTGTTTTATTTATGGTGAAGAAAGGTTGGGTACTCCAGCTTTAATTCAACAAAAACATCTTTTGATCTCTTAAAAAATGCAGAAGTTGTGAACTATAATTTGAAGACACTAAGGAGAGGTGTTCGTCAGCTCTGAGGTCGGTGAGTCCATGTGACACAGACACTTAAAGAGCAAGTATCACAGCACACGATCACTCCTCTGCTCCGTCCCGCTCCGTCCTGGTTCTGCACCTCCTCCTCCTGCACCTCCTCCTCGTCCAGGACGAACGCCCCTCCACAGCGGCAGCAGTGTGTGTACGAGCGCTCTTCTGAAAGGACACAAGGATTATATTTCTTCTTTTCTCATGTGTTATTTTTCATCCAGAAATTTGATGTGAAACAGACAAAAGATAAACCTGAGTTTTTATAAGCGATAGAGGACCAGTAGAAAAACAATGTCTGTATAAAAATAGAAGCTACGGAAATGTTTGTGGGGAGCCAGGTTGCTGTATAGAAAATATCCTGGATTCCTGAGCTCATACAGATATTCTGTTATTTTGTGCATTTTTAGCACAACAGTGCTAAAGTCAGCACACACAGTGGGTGCGCACGCACACACAAACACACACACACCAGAGTTCCACGCCATGTCCTCCAGGAAAACTGTTGAATCCACCGGCCAGTCCTGTTTCAGGTCACGTGCTGAAAGATGAACACACACATTACATTGGAGTTATGAGTTCTACATGGTGGTTGTGGTTTAGTCAAAAATTGATTAATGATTAATTTTCCAAAACGTTTAGGAGGAATAGAAGGAGAAGGAGTATTTATATAGCACATCTTACTCAAAAACTGCAGGCCAATGTGTAACACTCCATTAAACTATGGGACGAATCTCTTAATCTTTTCAAATCATCAATTGTAGAGACTCATGGAATAGTCTACAGAAAAGAGCACGTAATAATACCACATGTGCATCCTTTCTCAGAATTGTGTGGTTCATGTAACTACAAACATCTGCAACACAAGAACATTTGTGACAGACAGGTAGATGCCCTTTAACCCCTATTTTCTCAAATAATGAGAAATAAATGTTGGTGTAATGTCCCTTAAGTCAGCAGGTATTAATCTACAATTTCCCACGAACCACTTCACACTCTTCCCTCCACTGACCCAGAGAAAACTCAAGCGCGCGGCCCTGGCTTGGCTGCATGGAACAAGTGCGCCCTCTGGTGGACTCTACCCTGTTCAGTTCAATCTGGTATATAGTACTGTCCCATCAATCAAGTCATAATTGCTATCTTGTTTTGAGAAAATTGTACCTCTTCTTTGTAGGTCATAATCTTTTCTTTTGTTTTCATCGCTCAAAATCTTCCAGGCGGCATCAACTTCCAGAAACCTCTTCAGCGCCACCTCCTCTTCACATGAACCATGTCCACTGAGACGATCAGGGTGGCACTGCGGTTACAAATGAGAACAGAGTGTTACATTCATAAGTTCTCCCCTTTTCGTTGGAATTATTTTTTATGTATTGGATATTGACAGACTCTGATCACAGAGAAGCAAGAATTAGGTACAAAAACCCCTGACTTTGGCACTACTCGATTATTCTAAGGTAATACTCTATTACTTTACTACTAACAAAATGTTACTAATATAACTTGATTACTAAAATAATCAGCAGCTGCAGCCCTAAACCTCGACATATAATAGGTACATTTATTTGATCCATTCACATTTGTAATTACGACTTTGTGATTTTAACTGGATTGAGCTCAAGTCTGTGTACCTTCAGGACCAGTTGTTGATATCGGTGTCTTAGCTCCTCAGTGGATTCTGTTGCACTGGCTCCTAAAACCTCATAAAGATCTTGCTCTGAAGACGCAGCAAACATCTCTGCTGCAAAACACACAAATGAGTTTGATCGAGGAATAAAGTTACAAGTCTAGTCAATAAATATCAGCAGCACTAGTCTATTAGATGCACACGCCCAAATATTGTTTAAAAAGACCCTCATGAACCCTGCACTGTATATACTGGACTGAAATAATAGTGAAGACATTTCAGTGTTGCCACCATAGACTGTGTAAACATGGATCTATATAAGATATATATATATATATATATATATATATATATATATGATAAATTACATTAATCAGGATAAATACCAATGGTTTTTAGAAAATAACACACATATCGATCTTTAAAGATCTTAGCCGAGTATACAACTAGAATTTAAAAAGTAGCTAAATAAATAGCCTTGAAATAAGAACACTCTGTAAATTAGCAGGTGGGAATCTAAAGTAAAATGTACATCCTTCGCTAAAGATGGTTTATGTGTTAGCAGCATAGAAATATGGACAGAAAAAATACTACATTAGATAAAGTGGTTTGTGAATTGTCTGTGGACACATTGTGAAACCTGACATTACTACTACAGTATTGCACATTATTACTATAATACAATTGTGTTTTCAGGACATTTTCAGTTCATGAAATGCAGTATTAACAGTGAACTCTGTATGAGCTACACATGGGGCTACATCATAACATCATGCTAACCAATATTAAATTAGCGGAACATGTACAAGAGAAGCTAACCACGAAAACGTACTATGAATCTAAATGTGTCCCCAGAGATGACAGCACCTGAACATATCGTTAAAGATCCATGAAGAGGGTGATATTAGCTCAACACACACGTAAACAGCAGAAGTGCGTCAGTGCGTGAGTGCGTCAGTACGTCAGCTCAAGCCGCGTGAAGGCGCAGTGCTGACCCCTCCTGGACTGGAGACTACAGCAGCACACACAACCTGGCTGCATCCAAATTCATTAGAACAATACTCCCTTCATTAGTCTTCCTCGCCTTTTCCTTCGCATTTCTAGTGACCTTTGTGGCATGCATTTGTAACCTAAGTAGCATCAAAAATATAATAAAAAGGTTTTAAATTACACTTGACCAAACCTGGAGCTACCTGGTTTCATAAAATTGTAAATATAAACCGTATATTAGGAGTGGACTGACCTAGTGCTTGCCAAATGTGGAAGAAGCATGGATATATATTTTTATCTGGATAGGATATTGCTGGCTAGAGGCCTCCAGGTTGGGGGTGGACCACCTGCAGTACTGCCGCATATCATATACACCAGGGCAATGCAGGAGATATTGCCACAGACCTCAATATTAACAAAAACAGCTCATACTTAGCTGTCACAGAACCAACAGCTTTCTTAAAGGGTGGGTTCAGTGGGGATTTTGGTGCCCTTTTTCATCCTGAACTTTTTTCTTTTTAAATCCCCCCTGTGTAGGGGGTAGCAAGTGTTTTGGATTGGTTAAAACACTCACGTGTTTGTCTGGGTCTGCTTTAGTACCACAAACCACATCCACTGACGGAGAAGACAAAGAAAATATCATGTGATAAACCCCAGAATCCCAGAGAGCACTAAACCATAGATTTTTAAGCTTACAATGGTGAGTGTGACACAATTGGTTACTGAACTAGAGGAGGTTATGTTTCATTGTAATTGAATAGGAGCCAGAGGGAGATGGAGTGAAACTTTGTCCATGAGCACTTCCCTATTGATCTTCATCGAGTTAGGGGGATTAACACTGTCCATCTATATACAGCTTATAGCACATAAAAGGATGAGGAGGGATAAGGATGGAGGTATTCTTCCCAGTTTCGGGCGTAGCACAGTGGATGCATCATGGCACATGGCTGTTTGTGACATTTGATTTTTTTGAATCTTGTATCTTGGAAGATGATCTCTGGTATACTAGTACTATTTTTTTACTAGACTCTGTGAAGTAGCCTCATGATGAAGTAGAAATAGTCCAGCTCCAGGACGAGGCTCCAAAAGCGCAGTGAGACCACATGCTGGTCTGCAGCGCACGCGCCTCATCTGTTAATTGAAATGGGAAATGTAGATGAGGTGACACTGACACCTCTGACCCGGCTTCCTGTCTGTCACCCACTTTTGTAGGAGAACCACACAGGGACCAGTGTTACAGTGTGGGTATTTCATTCCAGTCGCTTTGTCGCGCCGTTGGCACGAGTACCGGTGAACTTCTGCTGGAACACACAGATTCCTTCACAGTTCAGTTCATTGCTGAAGCAAAGCACATATTTCTTCTAATCATAATTCAATGGAAATGGTCCAGTTAGTCTTAATTACAAGTCTTAGAAGGTAAAGTGGTTTTTTAACTACATGTTTAAATCTATATTTTTCCATATTGCACAAATTCTCCAAGCTGCACCTGTAGAAGCAAAATATCTATCATTTTTTCCTGTTATTGTGCAGTGATGTCGGCTGTATTTGAGTGATGGATTGTCTTTTGCATGCTTTTGTGTGTTTACCTGTTGTTGACTATTTCAATAAGGATTTAATGTCATTTATTGATTAACATGTTACTGCCTAATCTAGGTTACTTGTTGTTAACTTTCTTTTTTCTGGATGGCTAGATTTCCGCTCCCATGACGATGCCACTCATCATCAGCCTATCCCAGTATTAGGACAATAAAAGTTGAAAGTATCTTATAGCTGTTTTCTATACCAAAAGTGTATAATTAATTAGATTTCTCAGTGGGAGGATATACACAGTGCAAATCAAATGTGAACTCTCAGCCACTGCGCACACTCATCAGGTAACGTTTTAGTTTATAACAAAAGATTTTTCAAATTAATTAATAAGATGATTACCATCACCTCAATCACTGACCCGAGTCAGAAAAAGATTCACACTCGCACGAAGAACCACTAACACAAACAAGACAAACACAGCAGCTGTTCATTAGAGAGGTGTTAGTACAATAACAGCATTCTCCATTAAAAAACAATTACATCTAATTTAGCTCCTCCAGTGCCGTGCAGAGATTTTAGAGCAGATGAATTTGTGCAAACGTATTCTTTTTTGGGAAGGTTTGTGAATTTTTGGCCATTCATTTTCATATGTTTAAGGGCTTCAGTGTCTAGAGCAGAGCAAAAATCTGAAAGAATAGATTTGGATTGACAGAAGCAATAATCACAAAGTTATAATCACGTGAACTGTTTGGGCAAGAAGACAAGGTTTTCATTCTCTTTTTAGCACAAAACAGCAGTCATGTAGACTGCAGAGTGACCTTTGAACAGGTTAAAAATTAGAATGTCATTTTAAAGTTTATGTATTTCTGTAATTCTACTTAAAATGTGAAACCAACATAATTATGACATAAGGTCATTACGCGCAAAGTGCCTTTGTTTTTATGATGTTATGGTTTACTGTATATCTCACTTTGTGTGTAATAAGTCATATATTAATTCAGCATTGTAAGTTGAGATTTTATTGAACATCTACTTTTCCCCCCAAATTCACCTGTACTTCAGATACCTCACTTGATTCCCTAAATCAGCTTGAATATCTCCAATTTTATCATTTCAATGTTGTGTGAAGGGTGAAAAAAATTTACAAATTAAAGAATATCCACACCCATGTTCAACAAGAATAATAATTTACTCTAATACCACAGACGCAAAGTACGAGTAAGAGATTTATTAAGGACCCTTTGTGAGTCTGAATTTAAGATAAAATATCAACACACATATGCGTTGAGGAAGTAGTTTCCCACCCTTGAAACATTTTCAACAAACTTGTGGGATGTATCAAATTAGTTTTAGTGGCAAAGTTGAATCCACTGTTTCTCCAGTGTTTTTGTGGATCTGCTAATGAAGCATAATTCAGTGTTTGCCCTCCTGCTCTGTCGGAGCCGCACCAGCCTCATGTTGTGAATGTTTGAGCTGCAGAGCCATCCATGCGCACTGACGTAATTCTATGTGTCTGTGAACTGATCCATACTCTCCTTTAATTGTACGTGTGAATTAAATCAAGAGGACATGAAACTCAAACCAACTCAACAGGAACAACTTAAGACAATAGAAAGATGGACGGACTTTTCATGTATCCGTCACACCCAACATGCTGTTTTTATTCCAATAATAATATCCCAACGTAAAAGCCATTTATGAATGTGGTCTGGACATTAAAACACCCAGCAGTGACAGCAGTATGATGAATGTAACACAATAAGAAGAGTTGAGAATAGCTGGCACCATAAATTTGCCAAAGTTCTTGTCAGGCTTGAGTTTGCTGCTGGGGGCACAGTGAAGTGATATTTGAGGTTGTGTTGCCTGTGTTCATCAGAACCACTGATGCAGCAGCAGTGGAAGGAGAGAGACTCGTGGGTTGATGGGTGAAACCAGGGAGCGACCTATACTGTTAATTGTAACCTACTACTACTACTACTACTACTACTGTCAATTATCAACATCTTTTTACGTATGTTTGAATTCATCATGAACTACTCTATTTACAGACTCCAACACTTGTGAGTGCTTGAGGTGTGATTTGTCTGGAAATTATCTGTTAGAATGTCCTCCAGCGGCTTCACTCTTATGCATCAAATTTGGAATAAAAAGATAAATCTGTGTTTTAAACCACTAATCATTTAATCAGAAGAACAATATCTGGGTAAGCCATCATGGATTTACATAGTTTGTTTGAATCTACACCAGCTGTGGGTGTAGATGTAACAACTCAAAAACTGCTTAAATGACTTCTGGTTTTCACATTGTAATTCTTCCCAAATGGCTTCCTTCACTGGTTCACATAGGACTTAAACGTGAACACATAGACCTGGCCTTCAGTGTATTGAAACTTGAGGCCACAGATGACTTTCAACAGAAGGATTCAAGCACATGCCGGCTTTGCAAACTATGGTTTCTAAAAGGTAAAATTGTCCAAACCAAACAAATAAAGGGAATGACAGATGTTTCTACACATATGCACATCATAATGTCGAAACCAAAACTTTACTTGCACCATGTAAAAATACACTATCTAATTTTGCTCACTGT